TGACATGGTCATTATGATATATAATAAGCAAAGTTAGCACTGATTCAACTACAGGCATTTAGAGGGAGGAACACTTAGGAAAGGAAGAGTTTGTTCTGCCGAAGACAACAACAAAATAATTCCTAATGACATTCTGCTATCTTCATAGATCAGTGTCTCACTCAGTTATCACCAGAAAAGCTTCCTTTTGCAGTAAGTAGATGGGAACAAGTATAGGGGTCCCTGACTGGATAATGTGTACAGAGTGGGTGAGTTTTGAACACCTGATCCATTTTTTTTTCAAGATGGGGTTTCTCTGACTGTCCTGGAACTACCTCTGTAGACCAAGCTGGCCTTAAACTCACAGAGATTCACCTGCCTCTGCCTCTACTTCTGCCTCCTGATTGCTGGGTTTAAAGGCATGCACCACCACACCTAGCTTGGAACACTCAGTCTTAAGTGGAATGTCTTTGTTAAACCCCTCTTCAGAACTCCGCAGAAGAGGAGGCAAAAAAAAATTGAAAGAGGCATAAGGATGGAGGACATCACAGAGATAAGACCTTCTAAACACAGGAGGACTGATACACATCTGAAATTGCAAACTGGGGCAGCATTTGTGGGGCCTGCAGGTGTCTCAGCCAGATGTGGTTCCATTGTTTAGAGAATACACACAAGCCCCTGCCCCCAATCAAGAGGGTATCTCCAACTGCCTCTGCCTACTAAATGCTGGGATTAAAGGTGTGCACCACCAACGCCCAGTTCTTTTATTTATTTTTAAAGATATATTTTTATCTCCACCCCTCTCTCTCTTCTGCTCTCTGGTGATTACAAACCACTCAGCCTGAGTACTGGGAACTCAGGTCCTCTGGAAGAACAGTAAGTTCTCTCTGGCTCCTCTTTTATTTTTAATTAAAAAAAAATTAAATTTATCTAATTTTGTAGGTGTGTGGAGGATTACTGTGGCCCTGCTATCCACTTCTACCATGTGGGTTGTGAGGATCAGACTCAGGTCATCAGGCCATAAAGTGCTCTCACTGGCTAAACCACCTCAGCAGCCCTCACTTTTCCCCCTGTCGACTCTTGGATTCTTATCATTCCTCTCAGGCCACGTAATTGTTTCCACTGTATTCTGTAGAGCTGGCTTAGAGGTCATAAATTCTTTATCGTGGTAAATCTCTCTTCCCCCTCCCCACAACTTCAATTATGCCAGATAGTTTTGCTGGGAATACTCAGGATTGGCAGTTGTGGTCCTTTAGAACTTGATGCACATCATCCCAATTCCTACTGGCTCTTACATTTCTATTGAGAAATCAGCCATTGTTCCTTTTGTTTGTTTGGTTGGTTGGTCTTGGTTTTTGTTTTTTTCAAGACAGGATTTCTCTGTGTGGCTTTGGAACCTGTCCTGCCACTTGCTCTGTAGACCAGGCTGGACTTGAACTCACAGAGATCTGCCTGTCTTTGACTCCCAAGTGCTGGGATTAAAGGCATGAGCCATCACTGCCCAGCTGAGAAATCAGCCATTGTTCTTATGAGCCTGCCTCTGCATGACTTGGTCTCTCTCTCTCTCTCTCTCTCTCTCTCTCTCTCTCTCTCTCTCTCTCTCTCTCTCTCTCTCTCTCTCTCACACATACACACACACACACACACACAGACACTTTCCCTCTCTTCCTCTCTCTCAACTATTATTCTTCTCTCATACATTACATCTGGACTGCCATTTCCCTTCGCCTCCCTCCACATTTCCAAGTCCCTTCTCATCTGCCTCCCCCAGATCAACTCCTCCTGTTTCCCTTAAAAAAATATCAAGCCTCCCAGGGATGTCTACCAAACATGGCCTAACAAGATACGATAAGACTGGACACAAACCCTCATATCACGGCTGGATGTAGCAACCCAGAAGGAGGAAAAGGATACCAAATACAGGCACTCACCCACTCTACTCCCACTGTTAGGAGTCCCTCAAGAACACCAAACTACACAACCATAATGTATATGCAGAGGACCTGGCTCAGACCTGTATAGGGTCTATGCTTTTTGCTTCAGTCTCTGTGAATCCCTATGAGCACTTCTTAGTTGATTCTGTTGCCCTAATTCTCAGAATGTCCTTGACCCCTCTGGCTCCTGCAATCCTCCCCAGCCCCTGCACTGGTATTTTTCTCTTGCAGTTTTTAATACACTATTTTTTTTGGTATGGCTAGTGTTTTATTATGATATGATGTGGGAAGGTTCTTTTCTAGTCATCCTATTTGTCTATTTGGTGTTCTATAGTAGGGTTAAGGTATAATTTTCCCTTGTTATACTTGTATTTAGCACACCAGGCTCTATCTCCCCCCCCCATCCAGCGAGCTGGAATATTGTCTCTGACAACAGTTACTATTCAGGGATAGACCCACTAAAAACAGAAGAATAGTCAACTACAAAACATCCTTTAAGTGACATTCATTTTAGGCAGTAAGAGACAGTGGTAGTACTGTGTGGACTTATTGGCTATTGTGGGAAAGATTCAAAAGAAAATATAAAAAGAAGACAGTATGACAAGTGATTAGTACTGAGTTGATAAAAGTAGAATATAGAAAGGAGAACTGTGAGAGCAAAGGGGACAAGAGATAAGGCTGTTTGAGGTAAAAGTAGCCTGAAAAGGGACAGTTAAAGATATGTTATCAGACAATGTGGTACTGTCCCCATCTCTCAGGAGGCTGAGCCGAATTGGTCCTGCAAACCATGCCAATCTTTGTTCTTTGGGAGAAGAAAGAGAAGGAAACATTAGGGAGGGGGGAGAACTATTGGGTGAGAACTGAGCAGGGTCATACTGGTGTGCTGATTTGATACTCATTTAAATAGAGCAGAAATGTATGTGAAGGACAGGCAGAGAGCTACGTGGACACACAGGACTGACTGGCCTGATGACTGGATTCTTTCTGTATTCTCTTGTGTTCTTTTCCTGGTTCCTAGAATCTGGTCTTACTGATCCAAGCTCTTTTGCAATGGTTCCATTTTCTTCTTTGAATCTTGCTTTGGATGAGTGAATTATAATGCTGTCCCAGCCTATGAGCAGTGCTCTACAGGTAAAATTTCAGATGATGGTGCCACCTCCACAAGTGCCACCATGGTCCTGGTGGCCAGTGCTGACATTACCCCATGCAGTTTTTCCCAGTGCCCCATGAACTGATTGGACTCTGTGCAACAGCTCTGCTGTTGCCTTCAATTCCCACCGAGTTTTCAGCTCGCTGAATACTGTGGGGATCTGATTCAATGCTTCTTTTCCACAGCCCCATGACCCTTGTTCTGAATTTCTCAAGAGCATGCTTCACAGAAGGCCTTGGGCTGTCCAGCTGCTGACACAGCAGAAGTCATTTTGATAATGGCATCTTGTTTTTCTCCATTAGTTGCCTAGTGCCAGACACTCAGTGCCAAGGGGAGGAGGCCCCCCTACCCTTCTCCTTCTGCTAATGTGTCTGCTGCTGCCCTGGGAATGGCCTTTTGTCCAGCTGCAGAGTGTGTGTTACTCTTTTGATAGCTATTTTTCAGCTTTCCCCAGATTATTCCATGGGTACGATGCTGGCAGACCATGAGTATGCATCACTGCTATTTCAATTTTTTTCTTTCTTCCTTTTTATTCAGTCTAGAACCCAAGCCCATGGAATGGTGATGCCCACATCTAGGGCATGTCTTTCTACCTCAAGTAACCTGCTCTAGAAAATTCTTCATAGACCTGCCAAAAGTTCTGTCTCCTAGGTGATTCTATACACTGCCAAGCCGACAATATTAATCAGCACAAAGTCACCACTTGTCCATTTGACACCCAAACATATTGCTTTTAGGTGGCAACCTCCCACCCTTAGTTTCCTATGGTCGTTTTTAAATGCAACATGCATTCAATCCAAAGTCACAAGTTATTAACAGTTTCAGGACTGTTCAAAAGTGCAAGTGCAGCGCCTCTTTTAAGGCTCCCACAACTTTTTTTTTAAGATTTATTTATTTATTTTTGGGAGGTGGTGGCGCATGCACACCTGCCTTAGTCCCAGCACTCGGGAGGCAGCAGACGGATCTCTGGGAATTCAAGGCCAGCCTAGTCTACAAGAGCTAGTTCCAGGACAGCCTCCAAAACCACAGAGAACCCCTGTCTCGAAAAACCAAAACCAAAAAAAGAAAAAAAAATATTCATTCTATTTATTTATTATGTATACAGTGTTCTGTCTCCATGTGTCCCTGCAGGCCAGAAGAGGGCAGCAGATGGTTGTGAGTCATCATGTACACTAAGCCATCTCTCCAGGCCCATTGTCAGCCAGCCTCTTAACTGTGATCCCCTACAACATGAAAATTTTGCTTGAGCTAGGATGGATGGTGGCTTAGTTAGTAGAGTGCTTGCCTTGTAAGCAGGAAGACCTAAGTTTGCCCAAGAGCTCACATTTAGAAAACAAACATACACCAGATACTGGTGTCACACGCCTTTAATCCCAGCACTCTGGAGGCAGAGACAGGTGGATCTCTGTAAGTTCGAGACCAGCCAGGACTGTTCCACAGAGAAGTCCTGGCACACATATGCACACACGCACGCGCGCACACACAACCCAAACCTCAAACAAAACCCAGTTGTGGTGGTCCATGACTGTACTCCCAACTCTGGGGAGGCAGATACTTAGGGCTCTCTGGCCAGCCAGACAACATTATTAGGAGAGGTTCAGACTAATATGAAGACTCGTTCCAAGAAAAGTAGGTAATTTCTAAGGACAGACGGACACCCAAGGCTGACCTTTGAGTACTAACACACACACACACACACACACACGTGTACACACACACCAAGTTACATATTTTCAACATAAAATGGTTGGAGATGCTTGGATGGTTAAGAGCACTGACTGCTCTTCCAGAGGACCTAGGTTCAGTTCCCAGCACCCACATGGCAGCTCATAACTGTCTGTAACTCCAAGATCTGACACCCTCACACAGACAAACTTACAGGCAAAACACCAATGCAAATAAAATAAAAATAAATTATTAAAAAAAGAAATGGGTGCTTGCTTTGCTCGTACATATATACTAAAATTGAAATGATATAAAGAAGATTAGCAGGGCCCCTGTGCAAGGATGACATGCAAATTCATGAAGCATTCCATATTTTTTATTAAAAAAGTAATGGGAAATCTTCAAGGAAATATCAAACCACAATAAGAAAAAACCCAGCAGGGAAACACCAAGTCCTGCAGCTCCATGTTGGGCATCTGGGGTTGGCAATGGAATTAGCTGGTCTACTAAGGGCTTTGGGAACACTGCACAATCAGCCATGGTTCCTGCAACACACATAGCCTCTGTCTTGAGCCAGCTCTATTCAATGCCTATAGGTTTCCTCACTAGATATCCCACAGTCCTGGCATAACTAATATTCTGAGGTCTCTATTGAAATATAGGCTTTATATTCACAACTTTACTCAATGGCCTCTTAGGGCCTCCTTGAAGGAAATCCAATCCTGAGTTACACGGGTTGGCCTCCATAGTCTTCTGGAAACTGGAAACAAGCCTCCATGTCCCCCTCACTCTTGCATCTATCATCCCTTAAACCAACAAGTACCATGTGTGTGGATAGAGCTGGCAAATTCTGCTACCAGTTTGAGATATAACCTACCATACCCTTGGACCACAGCCTCTAGGCTGGCCCTGGGCAAAACGTTTCTAAGTGGTTGTTTTCCTTGACAGCATTTGTTATTCAAATTTCACAAGAGTCTCATAAGATGGAGCTTCAGGGCATCTTTCTTATTATCTTAGGACACAGCATTCTCTCTCTTTTAAAATCTCCCTCTCTGAAACTGACTAACTAACCCTAACCCTTCATCTAGTAGCTGATGGAAACAGAAACAGACACCCACAGCTAAATACTGAGCCGAACTCCTGGAATCCAGTTGCAGAGAGGGAGGAGTGATAAGAAAAAGAGTCAAGACCAGGCAAAACCCCACAGAGACAGCTGACCTGAACAAGGGGGAGCTCATGGACCCCCAGACTGATAGCTGGGAATCCAGCCTTGGACCGACTCAGACCCCCTGAACATAGATCTCAGTTAGAAGGCTTGGACAGTCTACGGGATCTCAGACAATGGAACTAGGATGTATTCCTGGTGCACAAAAGGACTTTGGGAGCACATTCCCCATGGAGGGATACTCCTGTAACCTAGAGGTAGGAAGGAGGACCTAGTCCCTAATCCAAATGACTTGACAGATTTTGATGATCCCAACTGGAAGGCCTCAACCTCCCTGTGGAGTGAGGGGGATGGGATGGGAGAGGGGGATCAGGGGACATGGGAGGGTGGGAGGGAGAGGGAACTGGGATGGATATGTAAGAATATTAAAATATATTTAAATTTAAAATGACATAAAAAAATCTCCCTGTCTGGCTGGGCTGTAATGGCACATGCCTTTAATTCCAGCACTCAGGAGGCAGAGGCAGGTGGATCTCTGAATTCAATGCCAGGTTAGTCTACAGAGCTAGTTCCAGGACAGCTGGGTTGTTACACAGAGAAACCCTGTCTCAAACAAACAAATAACAAAAAAGAAGCTCTTTCCTTGTTCCTCTAAAGAGGCAGTCAGGTCTTTACCTCTCTCCCTTTTTCTCCTTCTCTATCTGTCTCTTTCTCTTTCCCCTTCTCCCTTCCCTTATTCTCTTCTCCCAATAAAACTTTCCACATAACACCTCCACCCCCAGTGTGATGTGTGTGTGTGTGTGTGTATGTGTGTGTGTGTTTGTGCACACACGTGTGTGTGTGCCCATCAATGCAGGTACTTGTGGAATACAGAAGAAGGTATGTCAGATCCCTTGCATCTGGAGTTACAAGTGGCTGTGAGCCTCCTGACATGGATGCTGAGAACTGAGGTCCTATCCTTCAGAAGACCAATATGGGCTCTTAACCACTGACTCATTTCTCCAGCCCCCAGGGGGGTTCTGTTAATGTGTTCACCTCCCTGTCTGTCTGCCTGTCTATTTCCATCTCTCTTAGATTTTCATTATTTTTTCCTTTTAGATTTAAGTTTTTGTTTTTGAGATTATAGTTTCCCTTTCTCGTTTCCCTTTTCTCCTGCCAATCTCTCCCATATACCCCTTTATACTCTTCTTCAAATTCATGGCCTCTTTTTTCACTAATTGTTACTGCATGCATGGATGTTTGTGTATATACATATATTTCCTAACTATATCCTGTTCAGTCCATATAATGCTGGTAGTATGCATATTTTGGGGTTTGACTATTTGCTGACCTCTTTAGCAGTTACAATGTACTTTCTCAGGATCCATCTTGACTGTACCTATAAACTTTCTCTTTTCCACACCAACCATCATATTTTCCTATCTTTTTGTTCCACCTGTTTCTCTAACATTAGGCCTGGACATTCAGTGACAATGACACAGCCCAAATACTTCATCCAGATCTCCTCCACTAAACAAATTAGTCTATTACTTTTGAATTCAGCTTCATTCCAGTTCCTAGGATACATGTAGTATTAAGCCGGATTCTTTGCTAAAACACAGCTTCAATGATCTGATTCCTGGTAGAGGTCTTTAAAAAAAAAAAAAACTTATTATGCAATGTTCTCCCTGCATGTATGCCTTCAGACCAGAAGAGGGTGCTAGATCTTATCACAGATGGTTGTGAGCCACGAGACACTTGCTGGGAATTGAACTAAGGACCTCTGGAAGAGGTCTTAACCACGGAGCCTTCTCTCCAGGCTCCTGCCCCTGATAGAGGTCTTATTCCCTTTCAAAACATCATGTGCTGGGCCTGTACTGTCTGGATTTTTCTCAGTATTCTTGCCTTCCAATCTTCCGTAAGAATGTCCCATTAGGGACCTCAGACAGTGGAGCCAGGATGTATCCCTGGTGCACAAAAGGACTTTGTGAACATATCCCCCATGGAGGGATAACTGCCTTAATCTAGAGACAGGAGAGAAGCCCTAGTCCCTACTTCACAGGACCTGTCAGATCTACATGCCCCCAACTGGATGGCATTCCCCTACATATGGAATTGGGGTGGGGGGATGGGAGGGGAGGGTGTTTAGAGTGCATGTGAGAGGGCAGAGAGGGTAAAAGGGAGGGAAGGAGGGAGGGAGGGTTGGAGGGAGGGAGGGAGGGAGGGAGGGAGAGGGAACTGGGATCGACACGTAAAACAATAAATTAAATTAAAAAAATGTTTTGACTCCAAAATTTAAGTTGAAGGACAAGTTACTGGGGAAAAGGATTTCTATTTTTATTTCCACAGAAAATGAAAAGATGTGGATTCCTTCCAGACTAATGAGGTTTGATCACGCCAGACCGCCTGAAACAGAGTACAAGCTAATCCTACATTCAAAACAGCTAGACAAAACAGCCCTACAGACTACAGCCAGGATATCTGAATCTTCTTCGAATCCCACCAAGACAGCGCCCCTTACCAGCAGGAAGTAGCTTGGAAAGAACGACGCCCAAATTCTCAAATATTGTGTATAAATGTTTGTTTTCATTTAATTGGACTTTGTTATATAAAAATTAAATAAAATAAAAAAAATAAATATTAAAAAAAAGAATGTCCCATTAGGCTCTACTTAACAGCATTCTCAGGCTTTTTTAGTCCACAACCACAAACTCTTTCATGTTTCATTCACAAACCAGCTCCAACAGTCTAAGAAATATACAGTTAGTATCCTAGTTTGTTTTCTATTGTTGTGATGAAGACCAAGACCAAAAGGAACTTGAGAAAGAAAAGATTTAGTTGGCTTACACTTCTTGTCACAGTCCATCCCTGGGGGTTTACTCAGACCTTTGTGAACTTTCTTCCAAGTTCAGTTTTGGACTTGATCTGGAAAGCCATGAAATCTATGGAGCTGTATCTTAGGATCTGTTTGAGGGTTCCAGATGAAAGTTCACAGGGCTCTTCTGGATATTTAAGTCTTAGCTAAATTAACTTAGCCAAGTTAACCTCTCACTGCTGTGATGACATCTGAGCCCTTGTTCTCAGCAAAATGGACCATCTCCTCAAATTGCAGTTCAAGCATACTAATTCTCGAATCATTTCCTGGTCCTCTAGTCAACTTACCTGTTCTATAAAGAAAAAAGAATCTTGTTCAAGTCACATTTGCTCCTGTAACTGGTCATATGAAAGACAGCTCCCAGGATTTGAGGGTGTTATCTCTATACCTACAATTATGTGACCTTGAAAGAAGACCCACATGCCATACAAGATTGTAGCCTGAGCCTGGTATGGTAGCGCATGTCTTTAACCCCAGCACTTGGAAGGCAGAGGTAGGCTGATCTCTGTGAGTTCAAGACCAGTCTGGTCTACAAGAGCTAGTTCCAGGACAGCTTCCAAAACCACAGAGAAACCCTGTCTCAAAAAACCAAAACCAAAACCAAAACAAAACAAGAATGAAGAGAAGCCAGGGCTTCTTGACTCTCTAACTCTTATCCATAGTGGTATCCATTACTCCAAGTTCTAGCTCTAAGAACTTTATATGAGGCTTTAATCAAAGATTAATGCCCATTGAGCTATGACTGTTTCTTTTTTATTTATTGGAAGAACTTTCTGAAATAATCATATCAATGGTAGCAATCTGTTACAGCCTGATATTTGAAGTTAGAAGACCACGTTTGAGTCAAAAAAAAAAAAAAAAAAAAAAAAAAAAAAAAAAACTCTCATTGCCTCTTAAATATACCTCCATCAAGCCCTTAGTAAATTACTGCATTTTTAATGTTTTGAACATGGACTTCCAGTGACTGGAACAACAACAACATTAATAATCCTTGACAGGGTCTTATGTAGCCCAGGCTGGTCTCAAACTTGGTATGTAACTAAGGATAACCTTGAATTCTGTTTGGTCTTTATGCCTCTACCAGCCAAGTGTTGGGAGGAATGTGCTATCAAGTGTTTGGTTTGGTTTGGTTTCTGTCTCCCGAGTTCTGGGATTAAAGGTGTGTACCACCACACCTGGCTCAAGTGTTTGTTTTTGAGACAGGGTCTCATTCTGTAGCCCAGGCTGGTCTGAAACTCAATACTAGACCAGGCTTGAATTCGCAGCAATTTTGCCACTATCTCTCATGTAGTTGGATTACAGGTGTGAGCCACTAAACATGGCTATTTGGTGTTTTACACACACACACACACACACAC